AGACAATCTTAATTATAATTATTCTTGTACACCTTCAAATTAATCATTTAGTAGAAAATCTTAAAGGCATAACTTCCATATTAGTAGAAATAAATTGTGTATATATTATTTTCATAAGTTTAGGGGCAAATCTAGGTGGGTGACATAGAACTTGTAAGGTCTACAATTGAAATTCATTAAAAAAAATTAATGAATGGGTGGAGGTTTGACGACAAATTTCGTAACATAACAATTAGTAACAGTATTAATAATGGTGTTAGGTGAGGGAGGTAACTAATATGAAAATTGAAAGTAAAGGGAGGACAGTAGTATGTTTTGGGAGACAGAGGGAGGTCTTTGAATGATTTCAAAGTATAAGGAGGACAATGAATGAAAAATGAAAGTGGAGGGATTATAGTTGGCTTTAACCCTAAAACTAATATCATCTAAATCATCTAAATTGTCATGTCTAAAAATCTAAAATAACTAATATCAATCTAATAATAAATGAACTAGCCAATTAACTAGTTACTTGCCATAATCCTCAATGTCTCTAGTCTCACTATCTTAAATAGTGGATATGAAAAATGAAGTGAGATAACTTAATAAGTAAATTACAAGTAACCTCATTTAATTTAAAACAAATCATGCTAGACATAAGATATTAAAACAGTAATTTCAATTATAAATATGTATCATAAAATTATTTAGTGGTTTTCTCCATTAGTCATGGTTAATGTTTAACAAAACTCTTGCTAGTAAGTGCTAGGAATGGCTATTGTTTATACTCTCATCTTAAGAGGAATAACTAATATTTACACTCCCATTGATAAGAAAACACAAGTATAACAGGATGAACTAGTTCCACATAAGTACATGTCAATATGTGCCAATATTTACCATGACTATGTTGGATACCAAATGATGCAAGAATATAAACAAGATAATTGAAATTGACGTAATTAATCATCTCATGTATTTCAGCAAATATCACATAAGGCATGTTCAAGCTTTTTTGGAAAAAAAAAACAAATATTAAGTCTTTATATCAAACCATGTCATGATCATTTTTGTCATAAAATTAGGTTAAGTCTTGCCACTACCTCAAAATAGTTTAAAATATGCCTTCGAAACCTCAATTTGAAACCAAGGGCAAAAATAATAAATTTACGTATTTCACTTTACAAAAAATAAACACTAAGAACCAAGAACTTAGGATGACAAAGGTGATGAAGAACCTATCCTATATTGAGAACAAGCCAATATCACAAACATACTCGAGTTATCTAAATCAAGATACTAACTCCAACATGTTTTTTAGCTAGTGAGACAAATCATTCCTACCCATCTTTGTCTCCTCTCACATTAGAACCATATTTAAATGCTTATCATTTACAAACTTGGCTTAATGGTCATCTCCATTTATATTAAATATATATATATTAAT